AAAAGGAAAATAAGTGGAAAATGGTCAAACCTGCAATTACTGTAAAGTTAATTAGAAATAAAATCAAATCACTCTGTTTCTAAAGGGTGTCCTTTAGTCTAAATTTAAAGGACCACTATAGTGCCAGGAAAACATACTCGTTTTCCTGGCACTATAGTGCCCTGAGGGTGCCCCCACCCTCAGGGTCCCCCTCCCGCCGGGCTCTTGAGAGAGGAAGGGGTTAAAATCTTACCTTTCTCCAGCGCCGGGCGGGGAGCTTTCCTCCTCCTCTCCTCCTTCCTAGTGACGTCATCGGCTGAATGCGCATGCGTGGCAGAAGCCGCGCGCGTATTCAGCCAGTTTATAGGAAAGCATTTACAATGCTTTCCTATGGACACTGGCATCTTCTGACTGTGATTCAATGAGACAGCCACTAGAGGCTCTACAGGCTGGATTAACCCTCAGTGTAAAAATAGCAGTTTCTCTAAAACTGCTATGTTTATTAAAAAAAGAGTTAACCCTAGCTGGACCAGGCACCCAGACCACTTCATTAAGTTGAAGTGGTCTGGGTGCCTATAGTGGTCCTTTAAGTTGAAATTTCTTAGTTTACTAATCAGTTAGACCCTGGTGCTGTGCTATAGTTATAATGTTAAATAATAGTTATATAGTTATAGCCCTTTCTAGTTCAGCACCCCCCCACGCACAGGTCCTCGTACCACATATGTTCCCTGTGAATTAAATGTCTACTCGGCAAGTGTTGGTAAACATATATAAATTGTGAGCAATGAGAGATTTCTGAGATAGTTGCTGTTTGCTCCCTCCACCAGTCTATCTAAAGATTGAAGGTTCTCCAAGTTTAACACCCTTCGCATTGGGATATAGCCTCTCCCCCCAAGAAAGCCTGGGTGCCTGGCACCAGACTTCACACTAAATTCTGGTTCTGAGTTAGTGGTAGTAGTGGACTTGATATAGAGGAGACATGAGAGGCACTGCACATCGCAGACCAAATATGAAGTGTTTGAGCCACAGGGGACTCTTGCAAGTCAGGTGGCCGAGTTCCATGTTAATGAGGGTAACGAAAACCCTGTACCACTGCGGTCCAGCTGAACCCACTGTTTAATTCTGTGTGAGACAATTCGCAGTCCAGCTTAAAGTGCTGGATGGATGTATGGCTACCATCAAATTTCTCAGGCATAATGACGAACGGCTCAGGATAAGCAGGTTCCAGGGTTGGCCGTACTGTGTCTTTAAGAATTAGCACTTCTCGCTGCAACTCCGAAACAGTCTGGGCCAGGCTTGACACTTGCTGGGTAAACAGTTTGCACATCTCTGCAGACTCCATGATGGTCAGTTCGTTATGTCAGGGCCTTTTCTTAGTTGGGGGTCCGGTAGGCAGAGATTTGAGCTCACCCTTGCAGATATACACAGTCCAAGGTGATAAAGTTAGTGTAACAGCACCCCGGGCATAAAAGGGGTTAGAAGCCGTTTAGGAGATATTCCCTTTCCAGATACAAAGTCAGCTACCAAAGACACCAATCCACCGAACAGGAACAACCATACGAATGCTTCAAACTGCCAAACAGGAAAAACCATACGAATAGGTTTACACTCCAGACAGCCAAATAGTAAAACCATACAAATAACCCCCCCAAGTACGAGACGAGGCTCTGTATTGAGGGTCTGTAGGTGATCTCGTTTAATGGGGCTAACTGCCTGGTATTTATGCAGGTCACAAATTGTACATTGACCAATAAGAACAATTTAGCAGTAACCTTTGGACAATAGGGACCCTCCTCTCTATCCTGGAGATAATTGGGAAGTAACTCAATTATCTCCGATGATAGAGCACAACCTCCATTTTATACCTGTTACTAAAAAGACATAAAAATACATAATACTAAAATTACCGAATAAACTATGCATGTTCAACATACCCCCAGATAGCTTAGATCTGAGCGCACATTA